GTCAATACGTCAGTTTTGTACGTTTAAATGCTGAAAATACGTAAGTATTTGTACGTTTAGATGCTGAAAATACGTCAGTATTGTACGTTTTAGTGCCTGTAAAAACGTAAGTAAATGTACGTTTTATAGTACCACATTTTACGTAAAATACATACAAATTATGAGATCACGTTGAATATATTCAAACAGAAAAAGTTAAATTGTAATTATAGTACACAATATTTCTGTTTTTAATGTATTTTTGATCAAATAAATGCAGCCTTCATGAGAATAAGAGACTTATTAGTTACAGTCCCCAAACTTTTTAGCGGTAATGTGTTTACAATGAATAAATGTCATTTTACTTGTTTTTAACCAAACTCATACCTGAAAGTCATTTGCTAAACAAAATATCCAGACATACCTTTCTGGTGTGACTGTAATGCTTTCATCTGTCTGGTCAGATGAGTTCAGAGCAGCTAGTTGGCTTTCTTCAGATAAAGTCCCCTGTGTCTTTAACTTTTCCTCTTCCTCCTTTTTATCCTCCTCTTTTATCTGAAATAATTCAGCAACAATTTCTTGCTCTCTTGCCTCTTCTTCCACTGTAGCCTGTTGTTTGTCATCCTTTCTTTCCCTATATTTGTCTACTTCTTGCTCCTCTTCAATAAGATCCAGATGCGCAGTCTCTGCCGTACATTGAGAAAGCTGATTGTTCTGTTGGTTGAGCTTCTGCACTTCTTCAAAACCAACCTGGACTAAGTCTTGAAAAGGAGGGGAAAAGAAATTAGTACAAGGAAGAAAACAGTAGAAACAGAAGAAAATAATGACATTAAATCTTTAACATATCTTCTTCGTTTTATGTCAAACCTTTCTTTGATTTAAATCAGAAAAAATGCTAAAACGTTCAGTTTATTTACAGATTCAGATTAGATTTTCAATGTGATCTCTGGCTTTTAAACTCTACTGTATGTTTTCTTTTTTTCTCACCTGATGCATCCAGTGGTTTCTTTTTCTTCTGGGTTTTCAACCCCTTTTGGTACACTTTAGATTTCTCCTTCCCATCCTTTTCTCTAAACTAGAGAGAGAAAAAGAAACAACAGTAGAGAAAGAACGAAGAGATTTTTATTTAAAAAATATGATCAAAATAGTGTTTGGACAAAGGTATAAGCATCTATAAGCATAGAGTCTCGAATGAAGTGTCATCAATAAAACACACAGTTGATTGCTTGGAGGAGTAATAGTTTGTTTTCTGATTGGCTGATGTATTAATAGCTAGCCGCTGAACATTCAGTAATCTCGAGAGGATTGGTGGTGCCTTTGGTATGGGAACTTGATAATGTGAAGTGAGCTCCATCGTTCTGACAACAAGAGCTTATATAAAAAGTGCTCACATTCCTTTGTGTGATGGAGAGTGTTTGTGTACGTACATGCCTGACTGTGTGTATTTGTGATTTAATTACTGATTACAAAACCATCTAGCCTCACATGGAGAGTGAAGTGTCATTTATGAATACATGATTATATTGGAATGTGTTTTGCTATAGAAACGCATGGGTTCAATCAGTGAAGACAGAGGGACTGTCACTCACCCATGACTTATCCACTGGAAAGATTTTGCATAAATCTACACTATCAAATCAGCATATTAAAATGATTTCTGAAGGATCATGGGACACAGTAGTAATGGCTGCTGAGAATTAATATTTTCCATCACAAGAATAAATTACATTTTAACATGGATACATAAAGAAAATTGTTATTTTTTTGAATTGCAATATTTCCTGTTTGTATTGTATTTTTGCAAATATATTCTGAAATATTTAAAAATCGTAATTATTTGACGGGCAGTGTATATAGCACTCATGTTTCCTTAATGTCTTGGAAAGAGGCTGATAAACAAACAGAAATTTAACGAGATGGAATAGAAGGGTATGGCATTGCATGTGTTACATAATGGGGGAACATGATATGACAGCCCTGAAGAGATGATCACAGATGGGCAAAGAGCTAGGGATTATATGACGTGTAGAATATGTGTAGAATGATAAACAGGACTCACACAGAGACATAATTCGCACTTTAGCAGCTGCAGACTGATTGTATAAACTGTCTGACAGTCACAGCAGATGTCAAAACATCAGTGCTGCAACAAATGCTATTAAACATCAGAGAAATACACAAAGAGATCTTAAAAACACATTATCATATGATATGATAATCAATGGCTACCGAAGTCAATGGCTACTGTAAGCTAATTAGTTAAATTCACAAAGAGATCTTCAAAACACATTATCATATGATATGATAATCAATGGCTACCAAAGTCAATGGCTACCGTAAACTGATTAGTAACCAACATTCCTCAAAATATTTTTTTTGTGTGTGTGTGTTCAGCAGAAGAAAGAAACTATTACAGGTTTGGAACAACTTGAGGGTAAGTAAATGCTGACAGAATTTTCATTTCTGGGTGAACTTTCCCTTTAAACTGTGACAGTTAATGTGATTCACCAGGAGGGGGCAGAGACTACATCCATAAACTGTTTGCCAGAGATCTACTGTGTGGGAACTTGATTGAAACATCAAGTATGCATATGAAATATCAATTCATGGTTTTAAAAAATGTAACTTAATACAGTGTTTTGGGGTATTAAGTATAACAGCCCTGCCCCCAGAACAAGCAGTCTGAAGGTGATGACAGCCCATAAAGTCAGACTGCTGTTAAATACCTCTTTAACTACCTGAAGAGACTGAGTGTCAATCACCTCTTTAATGCCTCAAAACTAATCCCCTTATAAATATGTTATATGTGTCATGTTGGCACAAGCACATGGAAATGTGTGCACTGGCCAGAGAATGTTCATTTGCGTGTGTGAGAGAGAACAAATATACAGGTGCGCCAGTAACTGTACACCAACAATGCAATCCTTACTAGAAACTGTAAGCAGAGAACTTTAAAACCGGTGTGGGTGTGCATATATGTGCACATGTATGTATCCATAAGAGTGTGTTGCTGCATCTCTATGTCAATGTATGCATATATAGAAAGAGCATGCGCAGGAGGATATTTTAGGGTGGGAGGTAACAAAATGCCCCCCATTCCCTGATGGATTCCATCCTCTTTCCCTTCAAACTCGCCATCCCAGGAAAGTCACTGAGCAAATCCCTCCCCCTGTTCTCTCAGTGTATGTGAGTGAGAGTGTGGTTGGCACTGGCTGAGTGTGCACACATGTTGACATGAGGGAGTCCCAGGGAAACACTGATGAACTCAGGACAACAGCTGGCCCATGTGCATTTACAGAGGATCCAACAGACCCTCCTGACTCCATTTCATGACTAATTTTCATCATTTCTGTCATAAAATAGGATTAAATATTGAGAATGCACTGCATTTTTTGTCTTGTTTTCCAGTAAAATATCTAATCATCCCTACAGATGCTAAGATTTACAAGTAAACATTTGCTATATTTACTTTTACATTTAAGATGCAAAATTGTTTAAATATTAAGACATGTCTTTATTGACCATATTAAAGTTTTATGACATGATAAAGGTGCAAAAAACCTTAATTTAAAGACATCAAGACTGTACTGCACAGTGCAACAAATTAAATTTTACAACAAATCTTATTTTATATTAGTCCAAAAGGTTCCCTGGAATTGTTTTACATCAACATAGCGATAATCTTCATTTTCTTCTGTCTCTTGATGTCAACCATGTCAAATGAATGCAGCTCATGCTGCTGTGCTGAGTCTAAAACAATACAACAGTCATATTTTCTAAACGCATGTATTCAAATAGCTTAGAATCAGCATAAATATGTTCATAAACAATTTATTCAACTAAAAAGTATGAACATGGTTAAACTATGGCTATAGCTGTGGAACAAGAGATAATCAATTAGTTTAAATGAGATTGAAACAAATTAGGTTTATTGATAATAAATATATTTGTATATTAGGGCTGCACGATAAATCGCATGCGATATTTAACGCGCATCTTATCAGTAAAGCTGGTTCTGTAATCAGCGGTAAATCTCCATCACCTGCGTGCTTTCACATTGAGCAGCATTAACTACACAGAGCCGTTGTTCACTGACGTTACCATCCAACCTGACAGAACTGGAGAGGATCTGCAAGGAGGAATGGCAGAGGATCCCCAAAGCCAGGTGTGAAGAACTTGTTGCATCTTTCCCAAAAAGACTCATGGCTGTATTAGATCAAAAGGGTGCTTCTACTAAATACTGAGCAGAGGGTCTGAATACTTAGGACCATGTTATATTTCAGTTTTTCTTTTTTAATATATCTGCAAAAATGTCAACAATTCTGTGTTTTTCTGTCAATATGGGGTGCTGTGTGTACAGTAATGAGGAAAAAAAAATAACAAATGATTTTAGCAAATGGCTGCAATATAACAAAGAGTGAAAAATTTAAGGGGGTCTGAATACTTTCCGTACCCACTGTATATATAAAACTATAAAGTTTCTATAAAAATTCAGTTTCTATAAAGTTGCTGCATTTCACATTAACAGTGCAGTTTGGTCATTTAATTTTCAAAAGATTGCTATCACAATTTAGAAATGTATTCATTGATTTATTAAGCATAGCTATATAACGAAAAACATGGGTTATGTGCTCTTAGTAACAAGTCTTTCTGTGATTTTTATGTTCAGACTATGTTCTAGTTGTGTGCTAATAATGTTACAACACTTGTTCTATAAGAAGCCTATAGCTTATTTCCTTTTCATGTCATAGAAAAAAAGATTTATGAATCAAATTAAGTAAATATTCTGTAATATTAAGTAAATATTATGCACTTGCATTCTATATATCACTCAGTTTAGTCACCTGTGAAATCTAATCAGTATCATCAAAACTGACTGCTTTGTGAAAAAGTGCTAGATAATGCATTTCCAGATAATCCATTTCGAATTAAAACAAAATGTACACATTTACTTCTATATATCCCAGAGGAATCTTTGAAATGGACACAATCACATCATTATATTTCGCTTTAAAATCTATTTCTTCTGTGCATCACTAGGTTAAGCCATCTATTGCAGGTGTTTATAACCCAAAAACCCTAGACTAAAAAAATAGATTTTCTCTGTAAAATTTGATTAACTACATTCGTTAATTTTCATTCATTAGAACATTATGCAATATTACTACATTATATAATACTTAACAGCTCATTAGCTGGAAATTTGCTTTCTTTAAAGACATCATGATTACCATCAGGAAACGCCTTTGAGCTTTATATTATAAATACACAGTTTTTATAAGTTAATTTAACTTTACCACTTGTGAAAAAAAAGTGTTTTATGTATTATAAGACATTGCTTAGCCATTCAAATCACATGTAAATGTAAATTCATGTGGATTAGCTCAAATTAAATTTGTAATGTCAGTTTTTGAAGAAGAAAAGTCACATTTGAATATATTAATAAGTTTGTACCTGAATGTCAATAGACGCACTTTCTGGTGAACTGTCTCTTTTCCTCTTGTATGTAAATAAATTCCAAAATCGTCTCCATAGGATGGATGCAACCAAACACACACTTCCCACAATCCAAAGGTCCTTATCCTGCAAGAAATTCTCCATGGCAACTACATTCACACCAAGCAAGTCTCCTCACAACCGTCACCTTTTCTTTTGAACTTTCCTTAACTTTGTCTTAGTAGTCTGTCTCTCTTTCTCTTTCTTTTAACACCGGTCCTGTTGTTGACATGAGCCGTAGAGGCAAGCTACAGATTACAAAATGTGGGCAGTCACAGCAAAGGAGAGATGCGGGGAATGGAGAGAGAACGCTCCCCCTCTTCCATATAGGGAGCAAAACATCTGTCAGTCAGCAAGACAAGAGGTGGACAGGTGGAACTCTGGCTCCATGGCAAACGGAGGGCAGTTAGCAGAACTCGATGTATCCTTTAACGTTAGACACAGCACTTAAAGTGCTCACTCACACACACACACAATGGGGTGAATGAAACATGGTCTGTATAATCTGACACATCCACATGTGAGCACCATACTCAGCATATCTAAGGTACACTGATACTCCAGAACATTTTAAAGAGAAATGGCAACTTGTCATAGATTCTCCACATGTGACTACTATAATCAGACTAGAGATATGCGCACGTGCACACTGACATTCAAACACACAGTCACAGCTATTCAAAACACCAAGGCTGTGTAATCACTTCTTTCTGACTTTGCTTTGCATCCTATAGGTCATCAGGCACACAGTCACAATACACAGTAATATAAAACATACAGTAATACAAAACAACAAGAATTTCCATCGACTCTAAAAAAGTAATTTAAAAATGAAAATAAAGATGAAAAATTAATGTGTGTGTTTTTGAAAAAAAAATTATGTATATAATTTATATGTACATTTATATGCATACAGTGGAGATCAAAATGAGAGAACAATCTATAAATAATATTTTTTTCTGAAATATTGTTTATCTTCATCGCTCAAAATTGTGGAGGGTTAACGCTGTCAAAAATTAGTAGGAAGTGTAGAGGCCCCCGCTTTGAATGACTTCAGCACATCTGCGGCCGCAGAACATCACTAGTTTTTCACACTGCGCTGGTGTGATCTTAGGGCCACTCTTCTTCCACTCTCTTCCATAGTTCAGTAACTGTGGTGGGTTTCCTAGCCATAACTTTATTGCCAAAGATTTTCCAGAGATTTTCAGTTGGGTTTAGATAAGGCATTTCATTATTTCAATTTTTTCACATATATATATATATATATATATATATATTTTAAGCCTTTGCAGATATTTGTGACATTTTGTGGTTGTACTGTATAGTCTGAATATTTTGGTAAAAGGTAAAAGGCCCTACCATGACAAAAGTAACTAAATATTTTGTAAAAAAAATAAATAAAATTGTCTCAGATATCACTGATATAATATAAGAAATGTCACAGGTGTAGTCATAAGACATACTGTTAGTTTTGTAAGCCCTACTGAGTCAGCAAGCAATGCAGTAAAATATTACATGAACTGGCGCCCCCTCCTGGACGCTCAGTAAACATACACAGTGCCACAGCACCTATATGGTATACATTACCTTGCTACTTTTTTGAAAGTTGATAAACGTTTTTGGGTGTGCTGGCATGTGTATTTTGGACTGCGTGTTAAAGTGTGCATGTCCAATCTCTATTAAAATAACCAGAAGTATGGCATAGCCTGTAAGCGGAGAAAGTATTAGCATTGCAATGGAAAATTTAACTTGAAAGAATTTTCTAGTTATTTTAAAATTAACTGTGGTATGCTGTCAAATACCACAGACAATAATATCCTCAGTTTGCAAAAACTAATATGAAAAAAAAAAAATCTTCAGTTATAATGGGACTGATTCATGGTAATACAGCCCGCTCTGTGGACATATTTAAAACAGTACAACACAACTAGCTTAAAATATACTGTACAAACAGCTCTCTCTTTTACTCTGGCTTATACACTACCGTTTAAACTTTTGGGGTTGATAGATTCCTAATATTTTTGAAAGACATCTCTTATGCTCACCAAGGCTGCATCTATTTAATCAAAAATACAGCAAAAAAAAATTATATTGTGAAATATTATTACAATAAATAAATAACTGTTTTCTATTTGAATATGTTTAAAATGTAATTTACTCCGAACTTGATGAAGGCAAGCCTGATTTTTTTTAGCAGCCATTACTCCAGTCTTCAGTGTCACATGACCTTTCATAAATCATCCTAATATGCGGATTTAGTGCTTAAGAAACATTTCTTATTATTATCAGTGTTGAAATCAGATATGCCGCGTAAAGTTTGTGGAAAGAGTAATACATTTTATCAGGATTCTTTGATGAATAAAGAATCAAAAGAACAGCATTTATTAAAACATTTTCAAACAATATAAATGTCTTTACACTTATGATCAATTTAATATGCCGTGCTGAATACAAGTATTTATTTCTTTAAAAAAAAAAAAAACCTTCTGACCCCAAACTTTTGAACGGTAGTGTATACATACATATGAGATGGCACACAATACAAGCTTTTGCTTTTATAAACCAAAATATCTGTTCATTCAAATTAACCCCCAAAAGGCAATGTGGATGAACATGTGTGTCAGTGTCTAACATTTCTTTTGGAGAGTTACCTGCTCCAGAGTCTGTAGTTGGACATGTTTGAGCTCCCAGTAGCAACGCATCCTTTCTACTCGTTCAAGGTGGCCAAAAAATGCAAGTCCACCCATGCCAAGCTCCTTGACCTGTGATTCCTCTCCCTCCATGGCTCTGTTGTTAAGAAATGCAGGACATGGATGGGCAGCAGCTATTTTATTAGACTTGGCACACTTCCTCTTCTTGTCTGCAGTACACTTGGTATTGTCTTCTGAGCTGAAAATAGAGAAAAGATTAAAAATCAACCAACCAATCAATCAATCAATCTGGAGGAAAAATCAATAGGCTTTAAAGCCTTCCTGGACCAGCTGATCCTAATACACACACATTTTTAGACTGATATTGCTTTTATCCACCTTGTTTTGCACCACGCCAGTTCCGATTTCCGATTCATTAATATATTAGATTACATATAGGCCTATGACAGGAAGATAGGGTTGGGAATCGAAAATCGATTCAGATTCCAGAATCGGATATTTAAGGGTTAGTTCACCCAAAAATGAAAATTAGCCCATAAATTACTCACCCTCAAGTCATCAAAGTTTATAGTTCAGATTTAAACTGTGTGTATGATGTGTATGGTAGCGATTAAAATAGAGTAAATCACCTTTTGAAAGTAATTTGACACTTCAAATGAAGATTTATCGATTACATTGTTACGCCAGTAGGTGGCGAAAAGGGGCTGTTAAAATGTATTTGTCTTTGAATCATACAAGAGATTTGTTCAAGAACGCTGATTCATTCAGTAATGAAACAAGTACATATTGAGTGAATCATTTAATCATTAATTCATAAATTACATGTGATTTTGTTTAGTTTGATTTTTGTTCATGGTATTCAGCTCCAATAAATGGTTTGCAAAAAAGAGACACAGGATAAATGTTTGATATCATTATTTAATCACATTGGAATCGAAACTGGGAATCGAAAAGAATCGGAATCGGAATCGGAATTGATCAAATTCAAATGATACCCAACCCTACTGGAAGAATAAGAAAGTAACCATAAAACTATGTGTGCTACAAACCAGAGTGTTTATTATAACTTATAATGATAATAATGATAACAGATATACTAGTTTGCAATATCAAGCAGCATAACAGACTGTTTTGTACCACTAAAATAACTGGAAGTGGATGACACTGGATACAACACTTCAATAAACATTAAGTTAATAATGAGTAGCTTACATTTTAGACAATATTGCTGTTACTTTGTCTAGGTTGCTAGGCTAAGTTTCAACTATTCACACAGATAATATAACAGAGCAACACATGGTAGTATCATTCCTGAATGAATCAGTTCAGAACAAATCGGCTCAGTGAATTATTTAATGACTCACTCATAAAGACAGTTGTTGAATTTGGAGCTGTTACCCTTACTATTTGTGCCATATAACGAAATGGTAAAAACAGTAGGTACACAATTTTAAACTGAGCAAGTCACTAGTTTTGTTTCATAATGAATCAGAATTCGTTTTGAGTTGAATGAATGAGTGAATATCTCACACATAAAGACAGTTTGCCCCCACCTACTGGCGTAACAATGTAACTGCAGAAAGAATCAGCGAAAACCACTAATGCAGTGGTTCTCAAACCTGTCCTGGAGTACCCCCAGCCCTGCACATTTTGTATGTCTCCCTCATCTGTCACACCTGATTCAACTCATCAGCTCATTAGTGGAGACTGCAAGACCTGAAGTGGGTGTCAGATATAGTGCAGGTTTGAGAACCGCTGCACTAATGCACAGACAGACAGAAAACACTGACATAGTTTATTGAACGTGACAACTTTATTTGTTCTTACAATTAAATATTGTTTTTAGAGGAAAATGTCATAGATAATAGTCTACATCTAATAGTCTATATCCATCTAGTCTATAGCGTCTTTCTTTAGATATAATGGTAAAAAAGTCTGTTGTTTTTGCTGGACTCCATTAAACACAAGAACAGATTGGTAAGAAATGTATACCATTATGTGTGTGTGAGTGCATGGTTACGTGTGTTGGGTCAGTGAGCAGGTGCAGGTCAATGCTGACGTTGAGGTTAGCAGCTATAAGCAGCATTATGGGGGTCAGATGGTCATTTTCTGCTTTTAAATTTAAAGGGGTCATATAATGCTACATGCACTTTTACAAGTTGTTTGAACTGAAATGCAGGCCAAGTGGTGACCATCGTTTTGAAATACTACTCTCCATACATAGAGAAAATAAATATGTCTTGTTTATGGACTATGGTATGAACTTCTAAAATGTGACTATGAAAGATGGATGAGTCATGAATGTGCTAAAAAAAAAGTACTGGGACTCAAAAAGATGATCAAACTGAAAATACAGATTGCAATATGACAATAAAAAAAATTTTGTCACTTGTAACAAAAAAAGCTTTTGTCATTTCACATAAGTCATCCTACAGTTTATGCACCGAATCTGTCACCAATGATCTAG